AAGAAGACGTTTACTCTTCAGGAACACACGGTCTTATTTTTCCATTACTTTCTTCAGAAGTCTCCTTGTAATTATTTTGTTCATATTTTGCCCTAATTTTAATTAAGTTGAGTTTGTCTTTGCTGTTATTATTAGGTGTAACGATCTAGTACTGACTGCTGGCAATGTGGTAGAGTGTAATGTCACTCCAGGAAAGACATGAGAGACGTTTCTTCAACTTCTCTTGACCGCTAATCGCCGTTGACATTATTTTTATGAGAAATTCGAAAGTATTAAAAAAAACTCAGCTGCATTAATGTTATATGTATATTATAACAGATCGTCATGCTCATTATTAACATAAATTAGCAGATTTGTGATACTTTTTTTAATGAATGGTATCTAAAGAACATGGTAAATATGTCTTCTGGTTTAATTTCCACATTTCCAAACAAGGCCAATAATATGTCCGTTTTCCATTATTACAGTACCGCGTGTTTGTATAAAATCACAGGCTAAGGTGTGGCGTGTTTTGTTGTTGCAGCTGTTTGTAAACATTACATGCTACATTGACAACCACTCCCCCCCCTCCCACTCTCTCTCCTCCTTTTGTTATTTTCTACCTTTTTTGGCACAGCCAGATTAACTAATTGGGTCAACCATTTCTGAAATTTCATGTTTAGAAAATATCTTGTTTCCTTTAGCAACATAAAAATTATCTTTAAATTAATTCGTTGTATTAAATAAAACTGATTCTTATCCTCCAACACAGAAGTCAAGTTACATCCAACAGTCTTGAACATCTGAAAATTGTCGGGTTATCCTTTGAAAAGCATAGTCCCTACACGTATGTCGTTTTTTTGAGCTCAAAGGCAACTTCAGTTCGAACTTGTTTAAATCTTCGCTGTTTGGGACTGACAACAGAGAGAGAGAAAAAAAAGTTTCACCTATTCTTGAATTGAGACTGAATATTATTCAGCATGCATTTTGCTCACTTGGTACAAAATTATTTAAATCTCGTGCATAAGAAACAAACCAAAGTGCATCACTGTAAGTAAAATATATTTATTCACATGTTATAAGACAACATAGAATAAGGAACAATGGATTGATGACCCTGACAACAACATCCTTCATAGCTCGAGATCCTTCAGGGATTGTGAAAAAGACATATAACTTTAAAACAACTCCCGATACTGATCTATAATTAGAAACTTTGAAGACAAACAGTTGATTAGATTACGCGAAACCAAATTTTCGTCCTTGGAGGACTCGTCTTTGATACCAAAGTCAAGTGTTGAAACGTAGGAGGCGACATAGGGAAATCAAAATTAGCCAGACAGGAAATGTCGTGTAAAGCTAAAATTAAATATATATAATAAATGGTATTATTATTTGATTAATTCGGAACAGTGTGGAGTATGTGAGTGTATACTGAATTGTGATTGGGGCTACCAATCTCACAAGTCGCGACAGACTATTTGTAGAAACAATTCTGTAAAATTGTTCATAGCCAGTGCCCTTTACCTCACTAACTTTCTGACTACTCGTCACTCCAACATACATATTCATAACACCATAAGAGATAACAATTATTGTTAAGTAAACTGTCGAACTGACCTTTTTATAGACAATTTCTTACTCTCTTCTGTTGACTTGTGGAACGCATTTCTCGATGACATAAAACACAACTCGTCAATTAGTAATCTTAAAAAGTTCTTAAATGCCGATAGTCATAGAAGCCGACACGGTCAGATCCACCATGCGTGACTGAGCTCCCTGAACAGTTATATGTAGTCACGAGACTGATAGCCCTATGTGCTCATTATTCGGTCTGTTGAAACTACCGAACATCTCCCCCTCCATTGTCGTAACTACCAGCAGGTATGAAATTAATTTTTTAGAAACCTTCCTCCTAACTATAATGTTAATACTTTACTATTTGGTAGTCCAGGCATGCTAATTCAGTATGATAAAACTATCTTTGATTGTGTACAAAACTTGATTAATAGATCCAAACGTTTCTGATTAAAACTATCTCCTTTAAACTTGAAATAATATTTAATATCGTGGTATTTACTAAAGATATATCATATTGTTCTACATATTGCGTCAGTGTAAAAACTCTATTGTGCCAATTTAGAATTGTTCCAGCAATACAGATATACCCCGACATTACCTCTCTCTAAACGTTTGCGCCTTATGTATCATTGTCAATACTGTCCCATAGCTGTTCTATAGATATAAGGAGACAGATTTACTTGTTTCTGAATCTTTTCATTGATTCATCATGTATATTATTGCAATATACATCAATAAAATAAAGTTTAAACAACAAACCATTTCACTTTTAAAATGAATTACAAATGACATGCAGGTAAGAGTAATTCATATAGACATATCGTGAAATTCATACTTCACTGTGTTTTCAAACAAGAAAAGTTTACATTACAATTCATTCTGCAATTGCAGCCTCCGGTGTCAGATTGATCAAACCTGTTATATATTCTTCGTTCGCTTTATATATATTTTTTCGCAATGATAGAGATTATTTACGTAAAAACAAACATGTCGTCGATAACACATTTCACATTGATTTTTTCCTCTATCAGAATAAGACCAGCTCTCCCGTGCGAATCTATGGGACTTCATCAAATGACTTTTTGGTTTATAAAAAAAATCGTTACGAGAAATATACATATGCAAGATTTTTGCGGATTTCAGTTTGTTTAGTTTACTTAATGATCTTGAATAAAAAAAATAGATTAACGATATTACCAACGGATTAACGACATTACGAACAGATTAACGATATTACCAATGCATTAACGACATTACGGCCGGATTAACGACATTACCAACGGATTAACGACACTACGAACGGATTAACGACATTACCAACGGATTAACGACACTACGAACGGATTAACGATATCACCAACGGATTAACGATATCACAAATGGATTAAGGATATCACCAATGGATTAACGATATTACCAATGGATTAACGCCAACGAATTAACGACATGACTAATGGATTAATAATATTACCAATGGATTAACAATATCACCAATGGGTTGACGATATTACCAATGGATTAACGACATTACCACTGGATTAGCGATATCACCATCCACAATATGCTATCTCTGTCAAAAATACTGAAACAAGGCACATTAGAAAATGGCTTTGGAACATATCACAGAACTGTAGCATTTTTTAAACGTAATGTACTCTAATAAAAAAATATAATAAAACAAGGAATCCTACGGGGATCTCTGCTACCACAATTATTTGATTTTTATTTGGTCTTTAAACGTTGGATCGTTTCCCTTCATGTCTCTCAATTACGAAATGGACAATCCAAAACTAGACTAGAGACCTAATGGAGCCTTCAAATAAAATTAAGGAAAGATCCATCAAAGTACTTTCCCCAAATAACGATATTCACGAGGATCCAAAAAGCATACAACAAAAAGGACTAATGCTACCTACATATAAAATATGTGAAAATGTATAAAATATTCTTAAAGAAATAGCAATAGCAAACTTTGAATTGACAAAATCGAAGATGGCCACATGTTAGCCATTTTTTCTTTCTTTCGTCAGTCTCAAAATTAAAAGGGTTCTACTAGGGACCAAGAGAAACCACAAAGTGAAACTAGACAATTATCCATACAGAACCTCTCAAGAAATAGCAAAAACAGATATCCATGATTAAAACCCAAGGTCGTTATCTTTCAGTCATTTGACTTATTGTTTTAGTCCAAAATTACAGGGCATCACAAGGAGGACCATACATTATGTTTTTTGAAAAAAACCATTCATTACTTCTCAAGAAATAGTGATAATAAAATTGTTTAAAAAAAGACACGGAAGATTTCAATAGCCCACCTCCTCATAGTATCCGGGTATAATTTATCTGCCAAATATCGACATACAAGCAAGGGTAATTACTTAGTCAGCCGATAAGAATTAAGTAGATCAGATAATCATTTGGCGGCGAATCTATTTGTAATGGATCTATGTAAAATGGAAGTCGAGATATAAGGATATGTCGATCGGTGTAAAACAGAGACTGAAATCTAATTATATATTGATTTATATAAAACTGAGAACGCGATCTAAGGTTATATCGAAATGTGTAAAACGGAGATCACGGAGATCGAGATCTAAGGATATAACGATTTATGTAAAACGGAAATAGAAATTTGATGATAAATCGATCAATGTAAAACGGAGATCGAGATATGGGGATACATCGATTTATGTTAAATGGACAACCAAATCTAAGGATATATGTATATGATCTAAAAATATATCGATTTGTGAAAAATGGAGATCGAGATCTAAAGATATCTTTATAACACCTAAGGATATATCGATCTGTGTAAAACGGAGATCGAGATTTAAAGATATATGTATATGATCTAAAAATATATCGATTTGTGTAAAATGGAAATCGAGATCTAAAGATATATCTATATGACCTAATGATATATCGATCTGTGTAAACGGAGATCGAGACCTAAATATATGTCGATCTATGAAAATTAAGATCGGGATATCATGATGTATCGATCTATGTAAACGGAGATCGATATTTAAGAATATATATATATCGATTTGATCTAATGATACTTCGATCTGTGTAGAACGGATATCAAGATCTAAGTAACACAGACGTTTTACTGTCAAGGCTCTACTCTTCGAAGGGATCTATTTTTCGTTAATTTCATGAGTAGACAGGCATCATAAAAATGGATACAATAAACATGAACAATAAAAGAAGAGGTAAGTCCCCGTCAAGGTTTCGGTAATATACGTGAACGTGTAACTCGTTCATAGTAATAAGTAATATGCCATCTTCTATAGGTTATTGTACAGACTGGAGATCCCTTCAGGCGTAACCTTTAGCGGAAAACTGAAAAATTACAACGCTCGGTACAACAACACTGGCACTTCTCAAGCTTGGAATTCTCAACTCCCCGTACACTGTATGGTTATATATAATGCTCATTAGTCAGACTTAGATTTCGCTAGCTTGCATGGTTCTGTCTGTCTCCAATCCAGGAAGTAGGTTGTCATTTGTCCTTTCCCCTGAAATGAGAAAGCATCAACTCAAGTTTGTGTTATTTTTCAGCTAAATTCACGAGACACCTTTGGAAACCCCTTTAACATATCACACACTCTATCTACCTATGCATAAAGTGTTTGATGATACGGTAAAGCTTTAACTGCTAGTGTGTGCCTTTTTAAGTTTCGTCTTTTCGCCAAATACTAACATATTTTCTCTCCCATTTCACCCTTAGCTCCAACAGAAAGGCATTGGAGTTCTTTTGCAAGGGAAGGGAGATAATAGGTATCTCTTGATATACCGTCTTTTCGATTTTTGTTTTTGTTTTTTTTTTGTTCTTGTGGATTTTTTTTTCGCGAAAGGACAAGGATTTAATGTACTTTCTTCTAGGCTTTATTGTTCATCTCTACTATATGTTGTATATCTTCCATTTTATTCCCTTTAATTACCATCGGTTTTTAACCACTATTGGTTTGTAACAATACTGAAAGCTTTGATTTCATCGTGACATCGAATGTAAGTAAAATCGTCAATGTCACATTAATATCGATAGCAACAAATTAAGTCATTAACTGGTTTATCAATACTCAATGGCAATTCTCAGTGGATCCACATTTATGCTTACTTACAATGTTTCCTGAGAAATCTACCCTTTTTTCGCGACGTGGTATCGATGGTAACCATTTAATCCTTTGTAAAAGAGTAGTGGAAACCGTTTGATTTTATATCAAAATCAAAAGTGTGATACCTTTATCTCCATTTGTCCACGCTCTGTAAGAATCATTGAGGGATCATCCATGAGCAAATTTGCTGTGATGTTGCTGACTTGGATCGCGCAAGCTATGTGCATAAAAATATAAAATTGTTGAGACATGTCAAAAACAAGATGAACAAACTATCGACAATCTGAACACGACTAAATGAAGAGAACAGCGACGTATTCATTTTGTTTGAAGAATCATGTTAGGACCAGCATAAAGCAAGCATATTATTGTTAATTTTTTTTATTCGTATGCCGTTGTCCAATGAATTTCGTTACCAGTAATATCGTAATGGTTGTAAAAAGTACCGTCCGTAATACGTATCGTCGGTAACAGGTATTGTCTGTAGAAAATGCATCGTCCGTAATACGTATCATATGTAACAGATATTGTCTTTAACGCGTGTCGTCCGTAACACGTTTCGTCTGCTACAAGTATCGTCTGTAACGGGTATTGATTAAAACTCGTGACGTAAGAAACATTATTCCGAGTTACATTTCTATGGCAACAATATTGTATCGTTTCTGTTTGATGTTACGTTGATTTGTTCATCATCTGTTTTTCAGCACTTTTCTCAAACGTATTCTGATTTGTCACCTCGTTATAATCTTCGCACTTCATATGATTGCAATGTAGAGGAATCGACCTGTCATTTAATTAGAACAACTGACCGGTCATCAGGTACCGGAGAACCAGAAAGAAAATTAATTAGAATTATGTATATTTGGTGATGTATCGTGTCTGATTAGTGGCGATGTCGCGGTCAACATACAGGAAGCATCGACATCCTGCTGACACAACAGAACACGAGTCTGTGGGTCAGTGAGTGCAGTCCGAATAAAATTTAGGTTTTAATGACCTGCTTGATTTGAAAATAAAATAAAATATTGCCTTTCCGATATTTTTTTCCGTTAACTACATTTGCCAGTTATAGATGTGCTTCCAGTTCTTTTAAGATTAGTTATGCGTACCTTCGCTCGTGCTTTCCATCCTTGAGGCCGTGTTGACTGTGTCTCCAAATAAGCAATATCGAGGCATTTTTTGTCCGATCACACCAGCTACACAAGACCCTAAAAAAAGTACCTGGCATTAATTACCAAATCTGCTCGATATTATGTACCCCATCGTTTGACATTGTATTGAGCAAGGCCAGATCAATTCAAACTGTAATTCTGTTGTTGGTGGTGAAATTCATGTAAAATTTATAAAACATTTTTGATCCAATACATCAGTTTTCACCTATAATGCCGCCATTTTGGTTAACATCACAATACCAGTAGGATTTTTGACGTCACATTCTTATTGTTGATGACGTCAAAAGAAGGATTATTACATTAGTTAGGTTACACAGATGAAGGGAAAAGTGTTTCAAATAAATTACAAATCTTCTTTCAAAAGTAGTAACTTGTTCATAAAACTTTTATTAAAAAAATAACAGTGAACAATTGAGTTAAAGATCCTACATTACCGAGTGATAGATAAAAAAATTGCCTAACGATTAGCAGTCAATTTTTTGCATAAAGACATTATAGAGATTTGTGAGGGAGCTTACACATTATATCTACCATATATTACCAACGTATCATTTTATTTGTTCTCTGTTCCATCTCATCTCTTTACTAATCTTAAATATAAATGATGTGGACAGTTATGTTAACAGTATATGTGGAAGATTTCTGATACATTGTAAGTATTTGCTATTATTTATATTTTCATCCGGCAGGAATCAAAATCTCTTCAGAACCATTTTATTATCACATTGATTTATGGAAATAAACAGGCGGGTGTCGTCGATGAAGTATAAGACACTAACTCTTCCGAAACACATGGACTTTTTCTCCTTGTACTTTGTCAGGAGTAAATTTTTCTTTTGTTCATATTTTGTCCTAGTTTTATGGAATTTGAGTTTGGATTGTGATTATGTTGCCATGTTGGTATTTTTTTATTATCTTTTTAAAGCACAAATGAGAACAAAGAGAATGAAAATATGAAATTCGAGATAACCCTATTCCTTAATTTCCATTAAATGGCAATAACGATTCTTAACCGTGAAAACAAATATGGCTGTTAATTGGAAGATCCATAGAGTTTCTTGGAAAACAAATAACTAATAAAATTAAATTTGGCCGAAGTAGGACCTTTAGCAAAAAATTCAAAATGTTAAAACACGGGAGATTCATTTAAAATATAACATAGTTCTGTACATAACGTCTTGAGAAATACTAATAAAAAGAATAAATTAAGGACAGACCGCAGATAAAGGACGACTTGCCTGCCACTTCGTACAATTTGGTATGATTTTCAGGGAATTAGACACATTAGAAACCTGGGTTACCTGAATGGATGCCTACTCTGAGTTGAAGGCACATATCTGGTCGATGTCTGATCACAAAGGAGTCGGCTAGTTTCATTATAGACGCCGACAACTTTGCCATCTCTTTAAAGTGATAGGTGTTTCTTTGTGGCAGCCCGGACACACACATGTAAGCGTCACCAATTGTCTCCACCTGGCATTAGAATATTGCAGATTTAAATTTGACACCATAACTGATATATACATAGTTATACATAATGTACTAGTCAAATTGTGATTCGCCGATGTGTATAATAGCTAAATGTTATATAGTTAACCAAAATTTATACGAAAAGGCTTACTCTTCTGGAACACCTGGTCTTATTCTCTGTGTGTTTTTTTCTGAAGTCTCCGTGTAAATCGTTCTTGTGAATATTTTGCCCTAGTTTTATTGAATTCAAATTAGTATTACAATTATGTTGACATGTTGGTATTTTCTTGATGTTTTTTAATAGCAATTTCATTTTATCCGGCTGTTGAATAACCTTTACGACAAAACGCGTCAGTGAAATTGGTATACAAACTGGTGCTTTATGAGAAAAGTTCAACGCATCTGTTAACATCACATATATATTCCAATGCTTATGTTGCCTTTCACAATCATATAGATAACATATTTTAGTACGTCTTTCAGAACAAAATACCACAAAAACAAACATAAAATATGAACGTATAATAGTAAACTAATATTTGGAAAAATTGTAAAAATGATACACAACCGTTCGGTATAATCTTACTTTATATACATCGAACTCATCAATGGTGTCGTCAAAGGCCAAATATAATTCGTTCAACATCTGAACAATCTGCAAAATCATCAAAACGTTAGTGAATATAACAAAACAGAACCATCAATACGTACGTGTTTATATAATACAATATCTATGATAGGATATGTAAATAAGTAATCAAACTTATCATAACGTAATTAATGTTTTCTTACTAAAGTATAAGAAAATGTGACTTGGTACAAATTTCCGGTTATGATATGCTGTTGTTTGATTGAAAAGATATCTTACGTTCAGGTTACATCATATTACTACTTTGATTTACCAAGCACAATTCACTTTTCTCCCAAATACATTGTAGCAATATTGTTTACAAGAACACATTGCACATGCGGTCCAGATTTACCTTTGAGTTTCGGGAAACGGGAAAATGTTTGATAAGTGAAAGAAAGGGGACACCATATCTTTGATGACTGCAACGATGGCCGTGTCAGTGTCCCAGACTGAGTGAACATTAGATTAGGGCGGAGCTATGTCTCTCATCAAGAATGATATAGGTGAAACAGGAAGAAAGTTTAAGAAATTTTCAAGAATCGCATGACCAAAAAAGGCGTGAATATAAGTAGGCGTGTGGTTTGAGTTGGCGCTTACTTTTCTCTTGACGTTTCAAACGAAGCATATTTCTTATTCACTGAGAAATTAATATAAATGGAAATGTTACAAAAATGCATACAGATAGTGTAGTACATAGTTATGTTTTTATTTCCATTTGACTTGGATCCGAATACAATAATATGGTGTTTGTACAGAGTACCTATTTAACTGTAAAAAGGACGAAGAAAAGCGGTCACATAATTAAGCCTATCAGCACCCTCCTTTTTTGTAATTTATGTTGATCTTATGTGTCTGGAAACAGTCACCAAAGACTCAATGTACCGTTTCTAGTATTTTTCAAACATTGTCCCGTGTCACCTCGAAGGTAAATCCGTAACATAACGTATATGAAACGTCGCCGTTACGTCCGATTTATATAAACAGGAATACAGACATGTTTGGTATATTTTAGCAGAACGGAAAGAAAGTCACCTCCATCGGAGTAGATTCCGCAGACAAAGAGGTGAAGTGCACGATATCGGAAAACATGATGGTCACGGAGTCGAAATGCTCCGGCTCCACCGTACCCGTCAACTGGATTTGAGTCGCTATGGATCTGAAACACATGTTATAAATCTTATCTGTCTTATTTTGTGTGTGTGTGTATCGACGTTGATAAAGCTTTTGATCCTCGTGTATTTCGTTTATGAAACACCATAAAATTATATCAGTCTGTATAAATGTTATATTTACAACTTATTTGTTCATATTTACGTAGGCTCAACTTCTGTATCAACCAATAGTATTGGTAAATCATTTTAATACTGTTTCGCTTCTATTACTCGCTTGTACTACATTATTTCCTCATGGTTACAACCTGTGTACTTCTTTATCTCTCATTATTTCTCCTTTACTATTTAATCTGATATAATATCTTCTATTACCATTTCTTTAACTCATGATCTCATATCTCGACCTCCCGTGTATTTTTGTATATCTATAATCTTCTGCGTACTTCTTCCTTTCCTGTGATATCTTGTGGACTACCTTTTCCTGTGTTGTACTTTATTTTTATTTTTCCATTTTGAAATTTTTTGTTCCATTAATTTCTATAGGTCTTTTTCAATTCCTGGCATTTCTAGTGTTTATTTTACTACATATTGTCTCTTGTCGTCTACTGAATATCCTATGGACGTGTTGTAAGGTATTTTGTATGATGTTTTAAATACTTTCTGTCTATTATACGTGTTGCTAGAACACTGACGTTTGTCGACGAGAGAATGCTAGAGATAGGAAGAGTCATAGAGACGGAAACTTGAAACCAGCCAACTAGACTGATGTTCATATGTACTGCTTGGTCTGCCATTATATCTCGTGTTCTTTATTTCCGGTAACCGCTTTTACCATTAGTTATCTTTTTGTAACTTATCATTTTATTTAATACAATTAATTAGATACAACGACAAATACGTAATGAAACAATAATCACCTTCACGTATCCCATCTTATAACAGAATCACACAAATGTCACCACTATATTCATTGATATATATATATATATATATATATATAACACACACACATTATTTATCTTATTAGAAACTTAATCTTACATTAATTTTCATGTATGAAATCATGAAAATCATCACGAGCCTCGGGAAAAATGAACATTTCTAAGATTCAATATCATACGGATGGTAATTCTTGTAAGATCCTGTATGTTTAAAACTTTATATCTCCTTCAAACACAGGTACTCTAGTTACATCTGATAACAGTTTATGTACAGCTGACCTACTCTGGTAGCAGTTGATAGAGAAGATTTTCAGCTTTCTGTTTTTCTGACCTACTTTGGTAATAGTTGATAGAGAAAATTTTAAGCTTTCTGTTTTTCTGACCTACTCTGGTAGCAGTTGATAGAGAAGATTTTCAGCTTTCTGTTTTTCTGACCTACTCTGGTAGCAGTTGATAGAGAAGATTTTCAGCTTTCTGTTTTTCTGACCTACTCTGGTAACAGTTGATAGAGAAGATTTTCAGCTTTCTGTTTTTCTGACCTACTCTGGTAACAGTTGATAGAGAAGATTTTCAGCTTTCTGTTTTTCTGACCTACTCTGGTAACAGTTGATAGAGAAGATTTTCAGCTTTCTGTTTTTCTGACCTACTCTGGTAACAGTTGATAGAGAAGATTTTCAGCTTTCTGTTTTTCTGACCTACTCTGGTAACAGTTGATAGAGAAGATTTTCAGCTTTTTGTTTTTCTGACCTACTCTGGTAGCAGTTGATAGAGAAGATTTTCAGCTTTCTGTTTTTCTGACCTACTTTGGTAACAGTTGATAGAGAAGATTTTAAGCTTTCTGTTTTTCTGACCTACTCTGGTAACAGTTGATAGAGAAGATTTTCAGCTTTCTGTTTTTCTGACCTACTCTGGTAGCAGTTGATAGAGAAGATTTTCAGCTTTCTGTTTTTCTGACCTACTCTGGTAACAGTTGATAGAGAAGATTTTCAGCTTTCTGTTTTTCTGACCTACTCTGGTAGCAGTTGATAGAGAAGATTTTCAGCTTTCTGTTTTTCTGACCTACTTTGGTAATAGTTGATAGAGAAAATTTTAAGCTTTCTATTTTTTCTGACCTACTTTGGTAACAGTTGATAGAGAAGATTTTCAGCTTTCTGTTTTTCTTGTAAGTATTGATCTGTTCGTTGTCCCACGATATCCTCCAAATTGTTTGCGTACTGCTCCATCCGCTTCAGGAGATTATCGAAAAAGTTGTCCTGTTTGAATCTGTAAATATATAATATGTGATTCGTGGTATAATCTTATTGTTTCAGGAAGTTAATCCCGCTCGAAGATAAACATATTCATTACCTTCAAATAATAAAACCCAAATACTTAGTAAAGCTCAACTGTTAGGCACCACAGGCCTCAAAATATTAAAAAAAGTATGTAGATTTATCCTTTTAAAGGAAAAAACAAGCTCATTTATAGCAGTTAAACTACTGGTGTCATTTAGCATCAATACTTAGATACTTAGGAAATTTATGATTTTGGTACAAATATAATTAATATGAACTTTGACCTTTAACCTTCCCGTTTCCTAAGAAAGGAGGCAGGTATGTTATATTTATCTTTGTTTCTATTCTTTTATTTACATTTTGTTTTATATTGAAACCAAAGTAGTTTAATGTTTTCACAGTGTGCCTGTTACATCATCCAACTGACTATGCTATCATGTCGATAAAAGTTGATAAAATGAAAATGTTGACATATCAGTTAAAACATAACCCAAGTTCCAAATTGATAAAACGTTGTCGCATCATGATACGAATGTCTGCATTAATCGTCCGAACGGCATGATTACATAACGTTGTTAAATTTTCCATATTGTGTGAAATCAATCAGTCAAGCAGAAATATTTGTATTTGACTTCAAAGTTGAAAACCCAAACTCTGGGGAATTTACTACACTTGACATGTCTTCTTCTCGGGTCATTAACAATCACTTTTATCTATCCGCGATGATCATACGGGCTTGTTCCATGGTCACCATGGAGATCTCAGTGGATTTGTTACAGATTGTCATCATTATCCTTTGAATCTGTTAGCATCCCTCTCGAGGAAGGAGTAATGACATTCATTGGATGACGAATATTGTTAATGATACAGATTGGTTTTGGAAATAAGGTTTCATTCTGTTTTTATCCTAAAAGTCTATGTTAATCCATCTTTATAATAAAAACCACGAAAAGACCTTATTATAACGATACTTACTTATTTTGTGTAACTTCGTTAAGACGCTTTATGACATCCTTTAGCACGGGGCGATAATGGGGCTTTTCATCCCAGCACGATTGGATTAAAGTCACGAGGTAATTTGGGCACGAGTTCAGTTCGAACACCGGTCGGAAAGCTACATCTGACTTGTGGTTAACCACAGATTCAATAATATCTGAAACACATGTAGCGATAATTCAATTCAATAAAATTCACCAATACATAATCAACTAGAAAATGTCCGTATGGTTAAGACATAAATCCCCCTCCCAACCATAGCTTTGAGCTTAGATCCCTGAAATCAACAATGTGTAAATATACTCGTACTTTATCTTCGCTAGAAAGAGAAAATAGACAGAAGAACTCTCTAGGAAAATGAAAGTAGCCATCGCTGATTTAAAGGACATTGCAACACTCATAGAACCTCACAAGGAGTTCCGTAATTCTTTTGCCATCCGGAAGATAAGACACCTAAAGCGAACGAAGCGAAATGCTTATTCAAGATCGGACGCATTTTATGTCGGACAAACTTGAAGGAGATTATGGATCTGTCTCATTGATTACCCGAATAACACACATCCTCAGATATCGTCACTAGCAGATAATGCCAAACAGCACAACCATATCAATTCCAAAATAATGGATAGGACAAACAACCTCTTCTAGTGACAGGTCAGAGGCCATCTGGAAGACTCTCTCTTATTTATGTTTTAATCAAAGTGTCGCCGAATCATGGGGTGGCACATTGTTACCATCTCACGTACATATGGTATTATCAAATTGCCTTGTTTTATGCCACATTTTTACAACGATCTCGTCACACTATTACACGATCTCGTCATTCTATTTTCGACCTCAGTTTACATAAAATTACAAAACAGTCGAAAAGTCTAGGGAGTTCATTACAAGCTCGCTCAATTTTTCCTCAGCGCATGGTAACAGTTTAGTTTGGAAATGTCATACATTGTACACGACTTTCCGATGGTTCTGTGTTTATTACAACACTCCTACCCCATCCCCCATCCACATACACCCAAACACACCTACAGCCCCATCCCACCCCACCTACAGCCCTCTCCCACACAAATCTGGAATGCACATTGGATATCAGAGAAAGTATCAGTAACGGATCTTTAAAAAGTGACACTGTATAAGATTAAAAATTCTATTTAGTTTCAATTTTACTGTGACGTCATCTGCAAAATTTGGTTGATAAACGTTTAATGTTGAATGAAGATTTTATAATTATTGTATCGTGTGTAAAACAAAACGTGGTATTCCACTAATTACAAAATACAGTTGTGCTTACTTTCCGGCGTGATTCCTCCTAGTTCAACACCGAAAGGTCCGTTCCGTTGTAAGATCTCGTGCATCATGATACCAAGAGAGTAGATGTCTCCAGGTTGACCCATCGAAGCGGGAAGTGGTCCTTGATATTTCAGTATTTCAGGAGAAGTCCAAAGCAAATCTATGTGCAATAGAAAAATAAACGTGATATGAAATTCCTCGATATGATGTCAATCCCTTCAAACACAAAGTCAATGAATCGACATATACATGTTGACCACTGCATTAGATTGTTTTGCGTGTGTATTAAAAGTAGACAGTATGACAACATGTCTATAAAATACTTTATCCTGTAATATTCATTTCGAGTTACGCCATATTGCATACACACTACTCTAGCTACAGGTGAATTCTTATTCTTCTACTAGGCTACTAGGGCCTGTTGTGATCGAGCCAAAATAAAGTGAAAATTCTTCTATTCATTGGAAACTTATTCCAGAGCGTACTTCGGAATAACTGTTAATATTGATAAAATCTATTTGATTTATCGTTCGTAACAGAAAAAACTTCAGTCTATAATCCTTGATCCCGAGGTGCATAAACAGAAGTGTCTGTATCTGAAAACAAGGTATTTATTAATTTGACACTTGTCTGCCAACACTATGACATTTCCTGTTTACAAAAAGAAGGTGTCTTCTTCAAAGAAAATCCTGCCTACAAAATATCATGTTTTTATTCAGTGAGGAAATACTTGCTAATTGTGTCTCACTATTACAATTATTCAGATTGGCATTACAGGTATACATATGGAACATTTGCAGTACCTCTTGGACACTTCCGTTTTGAGTTAATCCAACGCCGTGGTCCTATATCCGTGAGTTTGAGGACAAAGCGACCATCAACAACGCAGTTTGAACTCTTCAGGTTTCCGTGATACTTAATGCTACCATGGAAAATGTATTCAAGTCCCTTTCAAGATAAAATTATTGACCAATTTATTTTACACATTCAAGTTATTGAGTTTTGTGTTTGATTGACTAAATGAACAAAAGCCTATTGATAAAAATGGTCATTTCACTTTACTCAACTTTCTATTCATATCATAACTAGTGATAAATAGTGTTGTTTTTTCAATGATAATTTGATGTTTTGATAAGCATCAAATGTTTATAACGGAATATCTATGGCATTTAAATGACATTAGAAATCAAGTTTCATTTTGTTGAAAATTGAAAATAAATAATAAAAATACTATAATTCAGAAATCTGGAAAACTGCTATTTACAGTGTAGACTTTTTGTTTTATTGAAATTACCCGTAAAATGTCCCAAATCAAACAGTACTTGAAATCCCAGTCCAAGTTAATATCTTCGTTCTCCAGGATATCCTGTTTTCGAAGACGGAAAAAGTGATGTATGATTAATCAAGATTATTCATATTCCAAAAGAAAATGATATGACAACTAATAAAAAAATCAGTATCCCTAGATCTTCATATCATTGGTTTGTTTTGTCTATAGAAATTATTATGAGATAACAGAAACAAAATATCTTAGATAATCTACAGCAAAGAAATACTTTTTTGCTGACTGTGTTAAATCTATTGAAGGGAAATATTAACTTTTTTTTATCTGTCTTCAGTCTACAGTAGAGATTATTAATTTCTATTGATTGTGTTTAGTTTACAGTATAGAAATACTAACTCACTATTAAACTACCTTTAGATGTGTACTCCTTCAGTATATAAAGATGGGCGGTGTTCTTACAGAAATACAAACTCACCATTAAACTACCTTTAGATGCGTACTCCGTCAGTATATAAAAGTGGGCGGTGTCTATGCAGAAACCCAGTACCTTGGCCACATTCCTGTGATCTAGTTCTCTCAACTGAAATAAATAACTCCGGTTAAGCATAAAAACCCTTGATACTAATATGTTAGTCATTATAATTTTCTTCTTGTTAAACATATGCGTTATAATTATCATCAGCAATTCCATTCCAAAATCGTCTTTTCCACTAATGACATTTCCTCAATATATACATATGTGTGTGTATGTATACATATATGAGTTCTTTTTACAGACAAAGGTGACAAAATCTAAATACCATGTATATAGATATCAAGTCAACTGGTGGTAAAATCCAATAAATCAGAGTAATATTAATGAAGATGTATAAACCTTCTGGAATTCTTTCACATCCGTCCTTAGGTCGGGTATGACATCGTCAAAACTTTTAATCATGACCGTCGATCCCTGAAGGAAACACAATAAAAGATGTAATCCAATTCACCTAAAAAAACCCACTCCTATTTCTGACACAAGGCGATAATTAACACGGTAAACATACGTTATTTTAGTGTTTACCGTGAGCGTTTTTGGCTGAGTATTCCTGGCAATATTGACGGCTATCGATAATGATATTATATATCAGGTATTTAACTTCGCGTTTATGATTAATTCTGGATTACTTCTGTCAAGCATTTATCTGTGGTATTCAAATGAAAATACCGATTTCTTTAATACACATGTGTGGAATTGATGATTTACTATATCGGTGTCAGTATCAACAACATAATGAACTCTCAGAATAATACTCGCCGGAACAGTCAATAAACACATAACAACGGCAGGAAAACTTTCGTCCGCACATTCTCGGAATTGGAAATCGTCATTTCAGGCTTTACAATTCAAACTCCACAACACCAATGGATAATCAGGTTATTTTATAGTGTTGGAAAAACTAACAAGATAATTTCTAAAGATACATTATTTAATCTGCAACATAACTATTTCGGTAATCAATTGTGTATTATTTTGAAAAAAAAACAACCCCAATAACAAAAATATCCTTGAATGTACATGTAAGGGAAGTAGGGTGTGTTTACGGACATTATAATAATAGATTTGTACATATTGGCCGATCAAAGCTGACTTATTGATTGATTTTCTGATCTCACATGTGTAAGTGAATCTCTGCCTTGTTTATTTTCAGTGTATCAATTTTCCTGAAAACCCGGGGTGAATGCGACATAAATGATTAATATCTATCCGTATATCTATGAGAACGTAATTAATTGGAACCCAATGAGATACTCATGTTTACAGGAAATATGTCCAATCTCAGTAATATTTTCATAAGGAAATGGATATAGTATAGTTTCATATATCACAGTCAGAAAGAAAATAGGATCAGGTGAACACAACTTGTCAACATCATGTTTTTCTCACAAATATAGATAGGATTGGCTGTGTGGTAGTCAACTCTCTCCAACAATTATATACGAACCAACATTAAAAAATCTAGATATAAGAGAAAATATCTTATAAGTTGTGCAAAAATAGATTTGGATATCACACGCACCTCTGTGTTAGTAACATATTAATGATATGAATACTACCTTATAATCGCCCGTTTTCACCTTTCGTCTTTTTATCGCTAATTCGTTGTCACCTTTCATCGATAACTGTTGTAGTGAACAAGACATGTATCAGTGGATTTTATAAAAGTAAAAAATCTTTCAAATGAATGATTCTATTGTTTAACAAAGAATCTACAAAATAACGTTTTTATTTCCTGTAATACATACATTGAAAAAAACCAACATCCAATGTCATGTTAAATAATCTGTATCTCCAAACAGTAACATCTCGTTGGCTTAAACAATATTTTTATTCGATATTTAACCATTTAACACGACGTGTGAAAGCATCTTTAACACGTGACTATCCACTGGCCATTCCAAGACGTTTGATAATGACACAATAGTGAACAGCACAATGGAAGATAGTTTATGTAGAATTGTCATGACAATAGTAAATATTCTTTAGTGTACAGCCTTCTCCTCAGTCTAGGACTTATCAATAATGCTAGGGACGTGAGAGCATGAAACCACAAAGGTAAGACTTACATTAGCATTATTAAACGATTATTATTTAGTTCTGAAATTAGTCAAAAACAATTCATTAATAGATACTGTACGTGTACCTTCAGTAGTGCCTGCTATTGTCATGATCCTATATGTTTCTGTTTATGAAACTAATTTCAAATAATTTACACTCGTATACTATGACTAAGACAGGAGATGAGATTCCTTTCCGCCTTTCACACCCTGATTGAAACAGGGAGTGAAAAATAATCTGATTCATTATAATCAGTGCTTTTTAGCGTTTGAAAACAGTAGTTTAGAACAGACGTTTTCATTCAAGCTCGAAATATACATTGGCAACGCGGAAATAAATCTTTATATACACGTTAAACACGAGCTGCCTAACTACGTACAGGTAAGACTGCCTGCCTTGATAATGAAGCAATACTTTACTTCACTACAAAAGCGGATATGATCACTCAGCAACAGCAAAAAATATTAAAAATAAATAAATAAATAAAAATAATTAAATAATCGTTTTCATGTTCTCCGACGTAAAGCAGATTTATTCATTCAAAAGACAAGTACATCAGCTAAAACAACCACGAGATCGTAATCTTTAAGTGCTTACAATATACAATATCCTACTGCAATCAATTTGATGTTTCGTTGTAATATAAAGCGATATTAGTTTAAAATGAAGTATGAGTTTGTTAAATAGCTTTCAAATACTTAAAGTATTTCGCCTACCCATCGATATTATCCTGATATGATCTTAAGTCATTCATAGATTTAAGATAATTATCCACCTCATCAGAGATCACTATCAAAACTTTGAGTATGAAATAAACAGTTATTTCCTGTCTACATACATTGTCTGTAGAAAGAACTACTGTACACCAGATTCCCTCCGGTTTGCTTACATTCACAATTCAATTTTGTTATCAAAACGAGTTTGTGTTAATTGACTTAAATAAAATTAAGTAAATTGCACAAGAAAGAAGTTGGTTTACGTCATTTGACAAGTATATCCTAATCTAACACCTTTGTACAGCCATCTCCCGATACTTACCGTAGAGAAAGCAAAAAGTGACGTTGTATTAAAGGTGATCTCATCCTTATGTACTCTCCAAAACTGTTCTTTTAATTTATTCTTTACTTTTCTGGAACAAGAACATTTTTGTAAATGAAATTAATAAGATAAATGTTAAAAATCTTACCACATGATATGTAGTCATGTGGAACCTTATATATCAAGTACCATACTAACGGAATCATCATTGTGTTTCTCGTTATTCGTTCGAATTTGTAATGATAACGTGAACATATAAAAAGATCTATATCCCAGTTACAAAACATGATGATCTCTCTGTATCCCATTAAATCCGGAGAAGGACCCTTGTCTGTATAGTGTAAATAATAAATCAAGCAGAAAATGAGACAAACAACCGCTATGACAAGAAAACATCCTATATAATTAGTGACACGTGCGAAGTAGTGTTTCTTTTTTTCAATTCCGAAGAATTCTCTGACATAATGGTGATATCAAAATATAGAAAAGCACCCCGTAAAATGGGTCGGTTTGATGATATTTGTTAATCAACAAATCTAAGTTTTGACAGGGCGACTTATTCTGTGTTTGTTTTGGGTCAATGGTCTCACAGCGAGGGAAATTCCCCTTATCAAAAAGAAACCGTTATTTTCTAGTCCTGTCTCACCATTTACGAAATACATTAGAATACCGCTGGTTTATTGTTTATCAGCCACTACATGTGTAAACACTTACCTTACATATAGTTGCTGAATAATAAAGCTGAGTAGCACAACCAACAAAATGATGCAAACAAATGTAAAAATCAGGATACGGATGATATCTGCCTCTGTCAAACCTGCAATATTTACAGAAGTAGGAGTTTATAATATAGGTTTCTTGTTGTAAAACCATAAATCTAAATGTATGGAATCTTTTACGAGTATCCATTTCGTATGATAATTATTTAACAAGACTCCTTCCAGGTAAAATGAGAATCCATGACGAGTTTCAGGAATAATTTATCGAATGAATGATTTATCACAAAACTATAATACTTTTGCAGACGTTCATGAAAGCAACACTTGATTAGACGAATACAAAATCCATTATCTCATTCCTTTTCTGTATCTTGGATGACTTTACAAGGCAGATGATGCCATGCGTTTATGAAGTCATATTGAAACAATCGGAACCTATAAATATGCGTGTGAAACACATATAGCATTTCTTTAATGGGTGTTATCACAGTGATAATAGGGTTGTGATGTGTTTACAAGCTGCCGTAACCTGCACTCATTTCCACAATGAACTTACATTTTAAGAGCATTACAATGTAGCAGACATACCGAAATCAAAGCACAGATATCTTAATGACGCATGTTTACATCGACCTCTGCGGTATTTGTGCTGTATATATATCAGGAATAGTAACCTTGAGGACCATTATTCAGCAAAGCATTGGAATATTAGATTGCTGAGAGCAGAATGATTTACTACTCTCACGAGAAGAAGTCATTCAAATGTTTTGACAACTTTGACCCTTGTCACCTTGAAAATACGTCAAGGTCATTTCACCTTTCTATATTTGATTTTCAATAAAATAACGGTTTCTTAAAATGTTCTGCCTTTTTTGTAAAGTTTTTCAGTTCTTGAAACATTTACCTTTACAATGTTCTCCACTGTAGCCACATACTGGGCTATCTGAAGGTGGATATGGTCCCGGCCACACTGGAGACACACCAGTTTCTTCCTCATAGTGACCAACTTCGGACAGGTACTGGCCAATTTGCTGACAAAAATTATCAGTGAATTAGCAAATTTGTAAATACACTATTGAACCACACAGAACCATGGTATATGCCAATAGAAAAATTACAATAATTTACGAGGCAAACTACATCTGTGTTTCTTTATCAATAATATCAAAAGTCAAGACTGAAACTGAGTATCGATATTAGTTTATATTGATTTCTTATATCAGCAAAGTTTAAATAAACACAAATAATGTTTCCTGAAACGTATAGAAACAGTGGACAAGAAATTAAAACCTCATGATCAGCTGCAGAAGCCTTTCATACGAGGGTTCATTAGAACCCAAGATATCGATTAAACGGTATTTAGACGAAAAAATAAATGTTATCTGATCCTGTCTAAACAATTTCAACTAAAATCGGGAATTTTATTTGACAATGTTGCAAATAATATCTATCGCTAAACGGTCAATAATTTGACAGCGTAGTATTTCGTATTAGAACAGAGAGGAATTTTAAATAATTCTTAATTAAATTACAAAGTGATGTGATACTAACATCGATGTTTATAGACACGGTAACTAACAACAATACGCCTCCATTTGAATGGACTAAGGTTAGTGTGTTATCTATCTATTTAAAAGCGTACAAAAATAATCGACAAATTTTGCACTGAAATTAAACGATGATTGGATATAGTGTACCTTCAGACTAAAAGAAGTTCCGGAAGTTACTTGTTCCACCTTGTAACCTTGTTGTCTGTCTCCGATGGCATTAAGTGAGACATTGCCTGTAACACCTGTCGAAACAGAGTTAATTGACATAGTGTTGTAACAGAAATAAATTTTAACAATACACTATACTAACATTAAGTATCTTGGTCTGTTAATAACTTAGCAAGAACGTTATTCATTCAAATAATAATTTGACGGTCAACCAGGACGCATTCTGATTTTTGTTTACAAGTTGTTTCATAACCAAATTTGTGTTCCTGGGCTTGACGCTATTTCTCCGAAACAACAACAATGCAAATAACGTTAACAGGCATCTGGTATTGTTACATGCTCTATAATATCAACGCTACTTCATTATATGTAATACAAAATAAAGATAATTGACAGTGGGTTTTATAGAAGTGATACTGAGGTCCTTACTCTCATAAGCCAATTAACACTAAGTTTAACATTATACCAGAATGGTGTCACTATATGGAACGTGATTACCACAGGGTATATCCCTCATTATCGGAGTGTCGCCAGAACAAATAAGCACCAACATCAACAATAATAACAGGACAGTGCGACATGATTATTTTCATTTACCGATCGGCATTGACATCGAACGGATAATTAGAGACATTGTGAATTCGACAGCATATATTGTACAACAGCTGGCGTTCACTGAAAACGAATTCCCACATGAAAAGTGATTCCCGTATCAGGTATATAACCAATGCCTTCCTGTGGTCAACAACGGATTACCAGTTATAATGTCATTTAAGCAACGAGTCTAAAATTAATTATTTTCGTTTTTCCGTTAGATTCGTGATGTTTTCAATGCTCCTTTGAAAGTATGGTCTAGAAGTAAAAATAGATTGTCATTCTATTAAAGCATCACAGAATTACACACAGTATCACATTACTAAATTCTCTAAAAATAAAGCATTGGTAAGTTCTTTAAACAACCATGTAATCAAAATGTGTTTGATCTTACTTGAAAATGTCTTGTTCCAAAGTGCATTAGTAAGAACTAGTCCGTCGGTGACGTCATTTCCTCTTTCTAAAGTCGTATTAACAGCCAGAGCGTACAAGTACATTGCTTCATACAGGTTTGCTGCCGGGTAGGGTAGCTATAGCAAAAATATAATTATTACGTGTCACTTCACAAAGAGCTCATACAATGTTGATATTTATACGTCGAATGTTATGTGCAATAAATTTGATATATTAAATTATATGAGAAAATATACAAGTGGAACTGTAAATACCCCTTCATCTGCTTCATATGTGTAGTTGAACAACGTGCTTGACCTAGATTTCACGTCGTCCTCGAACTTCCGGTACAGGTGATTCAGTGGTGTCAGGTAAGATACAAAAATCAGAGAAGTATACGCTGTCTTTGCTACATCATCGAATTCGTCGTTCTGAATTGAAACAGACACACTATTATTGTCCAACAAAGTTACCTCTTATTGTATAGATTTTACAACTAACTTACCTCTTATTGTAAACATTGTTCATCAAAGTTATCTCTTATTATAAAGATTGTACAACAAAATAATCTCTTATTGTAAAGATTGTACAACTAACTTACCTCTTAATGTAAAAATTGTACAACAAAGTTACCTCTTATTGTAAAGATTTTACAACTAACTTACCTCTTATTGTAAACATTGTTTATCAAAATGTAAAAATTGTACAACAAAGTTACCTCTTATTGTAAAGATTTTACAACTAACTTACCTCTTATTGTAAACATTGTTTATCAAAGTAATCTTTTCTTGTAAAAATTGTACAACAAAGTTACCTCTTATTGTAAAGATTGTACAACTAAGTTATCTATTATTGTAAACATTGTACAACTAACTTACCTCTTATTGTAAACAATGTAAAGATTGTAAAGATTCTACATTTCAACTCTGTAAACGTTCAACATATATCGACATAATGAAAACGTGCGAGGGATCTATTGTCTAAGGAAACCAGAATACTTGGAGAAAACCATCATGAACCTATCACCGACCTCACATCTTTTCCCGTCAAATCGGTATACTAAACAACGAATGACTATGGTGACGAATCAAACCATTAGTATAACAAGCAAGCCAAAGTGATTTACAATTTTGAATGAGTACAAAATCATATGCGAACATATTTTACATTTAAAAGAAAATGGAATTATATAGCAATTGATATTAGTGAATCTTACCTGTTTCCAGGATATATCGCCAAACGTTCTCGACGAGGCATAATAATACACGGAAATAAACATGCATGTCCCTGATGTAAGTCCCATTTCATGAGCAATTATCATCAGCTGCCGTAATGTCTCGCCCCGTACAGCAAGAATAATTACTGAAAAAAAATCAATAGTTGTTAATGCTTAAATTCCATATCAAGAACGTAGAAAGTGTAGTTCTATTTAGTCATAGGTCCATCTTATCTTTCCCCCTGAAGTTTTCCGTGGAACTAATGTGTACTTTAACAGGACCTACACTGGTACTTACTTCGGGACACGGCCGTCACCTCTACCAGAATGGACCGGAGACTATCATTTGTGGCACCATCGTATTCCTTACTTACGGCTACCAACATACCAGACCCGGTCACCACCTCTTCTACAGCTTCCCGTGTGTATTTCCAAATTCTGTCCGTGTGTTTCTGAGAAATAATTCCAATCCGTTTCCACTTAAAATGGACCATAATTCCTCTTATGGCGTGCCCTACCTTGTCAAAAGTTCCTAGGAGTCTGGTCAGTGTCTACAAATGTCAATTACGTTTTTAATTTGTGTTCATTTGAATGATAAGGAAACAACAGCCTAATTGTGAATTATAAAAGAGTAAAATGACTTCCTGCATTATATATATATATTTGAATAACTATAAACAACATTAAGCATTATCGCTTTCATTCCTGAATCTTCATAATGCTTAATAATTTGTCTAGGCAATTTATTAAGCATCATGTTATGTTAAGTTATTCAAATATATCACACCGGACACTGATGATACATCTTTTATATTTGAATATAACGATATATCTAAGAATATAAAACTATTCAACAAAATAATGATAAAAAAATGATATCAATCAAGAAATGTTTAGTATCACATACTCTGTAAAACTATTGTTTAGCTATTGTAATCTATAATACCAATCTCTGTTTCTTTTGTACAAAACATAACAATGCAAAATGTTCATCTTACTTCATATTCTTTATCTTACGCGTGTCCAAAGCAAAACATTATAGAACAAAAGGTGAACACAAGATTTGACGACATTTCCCGTAAAGTACTGGAAGATTTGTAGTGAACAAATGATGCCTGTCATCTTGCCGTGTAGCTTGGTATGTATTAATCAACAAAACCATGGTTATAGACGTATAAGGTAGTTCCAATATAACCTATCTATAAATTTCATCACACTGGATTATCCAAAGACTGTGCTACTCTCATAAGGCCAATTAAGTAGACCATTCATACTGTAGTTTTTTTGCTATAATATCATTTCATCCTACATTCAATTACAGGGAAAACACGAAGTCCAGAAATTGCTTTCAGAAGCTTAATAAGGAGGATGACCCCGGTTGGCCTTTGTGACTGCTCACAACGTCTTTACACGCTCCTTGTAGTCAACACGAAACGTTGACTCATTTGTTATGAGGACAGCTCTTCAATGACGTAAACTGCCAGTTTGAATGTTAAAATTTGTGGTATATCGTGTAATCTGTGGCTGTATAGTAAACGTGACCATTTCAATTTCCTTATTATGAATGTTCCATCTCTGGACAGCAGCATTCCTGCATCCCAAACCTAAGGTGTTTACATATCGCAGTTGATTCGATATTCAAGGGTCTGTTCCCATTATCTCGATTTTCAAGAAATCGTCAACTGACTAACACACTTGTAATGCAGGGTTTCAAAAGATGCAAGTTAATGAAAATTTTAGTGAAGTTTTATGGTAGTCTTAATGATCTCATTGAGAAATATTCTATTTCTTTTTGCGACATGAAATCGAATGTGTTTTATTCTTGTTAGTTTGCCTGTTGGTTCCGTTGTATACCTTGTTCTCATTTGAGAACGTGACATCATAGCGCATGTCGTCAATGAAGCAGAAGACGCTTACTCTTTCGGAACGCCTGGTCTTATTCTCCTTGTACTTTTTCATGAGCCTTCCTGTAAATCTGTCTTTTGTGCATATCTTGTCCTAGTTTTATTGAATTGGATTATGTTTATGTAGACATGTTGGTATTTTCGCGATTTTTTTTTCTGATGAAGGTAGTATCAAAACTTCATATCAAAATGTCTAATTGTTGTGTTAAAAGAACTTTTATTCTATTGTTTTTCACAAGTTAACAATTGAAAAAGAATCTTACTCTGTCACATAGTATGATTAAAACGATACCGAGAAATTCTTTTTTATAATTTTAGCCTCATTTAGTAGAAATCTATATTCTTAGTTGCGGTTTCTTCAGCTTAGCTTTGATGTCTGTCAACTGCTCTAACAAATCGGATAGCATAGCAGCTTTTTGATGGATAATTGGTGGCAATGACAATTAATGAAAATTGTGCAACTGTTTTTGCTTTGCTAAACAAAACATAATGCATCATTAGCTTATAGAGACGATAAGCACACTGAAATCAATAAAACCCCGAGATAAAAAGTTCAAATAGTATTCATGGACAGTCTAAACAATCAGTTGCTAGTTATAAATATATTTTTACGAAATGTCGTTGGTAGTTTTTACGCAAAAGACGTTACTATAAAATATCGGAGACCAATGGCTGGTTTTAAAATAAATAATGTAACATTTTTATCTGATCGATTACAGGTACTGTAATAGATAGGAAATGACGCGTGTTGGGGAGATAAAATATTATCATTTAACAGCAAAGCGATATGTGAATCAATTGATATTTGTGAAGCTATCTTGATCGCAGAAATAACCCCTGAGTAAATAGTCTAACCACTGAAATCTCGACCTTCACATCCACAAAAATAACAATAACCGCAGTACTTTTTGCAGTCGCTGATGAAATCTACCTTGAATGTGTCTTTGTTGAGCATTTCCGTATCTTGACAGACGCCTGTCAAACAAGGCAGGTTGTGATAGGCAGCTAGTCTTCCGATGTGTCGACACACTCCCGAGCATTGAGGACCAATAATACCGTGGTACGTGTGTGCGTGCAGATGATCAGTGGTCACACCTACAATTGACAAAGTCGTGTATAATAATGTTATATATATGTATCCTCGTTTTATTATGCATTTTTAAAAACGAGTTTGAGATGTAATTGTTCTGTTGATAACATAGCGGTATCTTCAAAATTCCAATTTCAGCGTAAATAATTAAAAGACTATCACATATGCAGGTTTCTGAACAAATAAGTCATTGGATAAAAGTAATGGTGATAATTGAAAAAAAAAATGAGGTCCCAACTCGCCGCCATAGATCATGCGTTAAAATATATACTTTTCATTCTTACTTACAAACTCTATAAAACAGTTAGAAATGACACAACAAAGCGAGTATCTCTCATTCAATGAGAATTTATTTGTCAATTTGATACCAGCAAATTTTTTAGTTTCTCCGGATACGAATTTTTCATTAAGTCTTGCCATAGGTAAATATTCTTTTCTATTGACTGGAAGACCCGATCGAAGGCGAAGACATATCGAAATATTTGTTAAATAACAAGTACAAATCAAGGGAAATGAAATTTAGTATAAAATTCTTTTATGTACTCTTTGGTGAGAAACTACACTTACCCAAGCCGTACACGTCGTTACATTTAGTGTTCACTCTCTCAACTTCTATTGTGATGTTTCCCAGGAGGCCCTCGGCGTTGATATCATCCAAGGCGACGTAAACTGGAAAGATAATCATATAAAGCTGTCTAACCTAATCGTTTGGTTTGTTCGTTTCAGTTTTTCTGTTTCCTTGACTAGACCAGTTTCAAGGTGTCGTCTCAACGAAGAAATCATAGTTCTGGCGACATTTCATCGAAAGATTCTCAATTGTGCTTTGTGCAATGGCAGTTTATACATTTTAGATTGATCATGTACCATATCTTTGAAACAGTGAGTCTGTGATTCATAATTAAATTCTAGGGATGATAAACCTTATACAAATGTTGGAAGTTGTGATGTATGACTGAAAAGCAATATGGTTGACTCTTAAGTGATGTTTAAACCTTCTCTTTGTAAGTATAGCCTTTGTAAATTGGAACATGCTTATGTCTGTCACATAACTTACTTGGATTGACCAAGGTTTACCAGACAATTGTCGCCGATGAAGAGGTGGAAGCTTACTCTTCCGGCACGCTTGGTCTTATTTGCCCTTTACTTTTTATGATTCACCGTGTAAACCTTTCTTTTGTAAATATTTTGCGAAAGTTTCCTTGAATTTGAGTTTTAATTATGATTATGTTGACCTTTCGTAATTCATAAGATGTTTGAAATTTGATGCTAGTGTTTGATGACTTTTTTCGTCCTACATATTGCATGACCTGCCATTCCATTCCCTGCTCCGCATCGTAGTTAATGCTGCTCGCAAGTCCTCAGCTTATTAGTTTATTAATAAAAGACATGTTGTTGCAATGTCAACATTCCAATGATGTCACGTTGTTTACAACGGCCATGCATAGACTCCACCGATTGACATATCAGTGTGTTTGAGTGTTGTTCAATCATTTTATGTATTTTGTGAGGTGTCATTTGTAATGTTGATGTCGAAATTACCGTATGATACCAAACGCAAATGCACTTTTAGTATGACCAATCGAATTCATGGCCAAATTGCCAGTGAACTTCAGCTTTGACTGTTTATCTCAAACAACATCGGCTTTAGTTTGAGAGAACTTATCCTAGAAGCATGCTGTATTTTAAAGGATGACTGTGTATTCGGCAGTAGAGACAACATCATAGAAATAACGAAAATCGTCCGTAGTTCTGTAATGTCAAAATGAAAAGCATCCATATTCAATTTGCACCGTGTTCATTAGTTACTGTTGCTATTGAGTACGTAAAAAACAGCCATGTTGGCCACCCCTCGTCTGAGTACCATATGACACGGGAAATTGTAGCGTTGATGTATAATGTGTTCACTACCATATAATATGTCCATGATCTATGTGTTGTAGGTTTCTTCTGTGTTATAAAATATAATATGTTGTTGGAGTCATACCCCACCTCCAATCAAGAGGCTACAAAAGTAAGAGCAGGGAAGATCATAAAGACAAGCTTACGAGATCGTATTTCAAACCCGATAAAACCAAGAGAAAATATGAACAAAGAAAAGATCGACAGTCAGACGACTACAGAAAAAAGTAATTTAGGTTCTTAAATGAGAACAAAGTATACAATAACGGAACCACCGAGCAACGTAATGAGCATCAAACACGTCCAGCTTCCTATGGCAGAAAGATATATTATTTCATAATTAATCACCATGACGGCCGTTAAATCTCACCACAATTTTCATTAATCGCCAGGAATGCGTACGATATATACGATTTATACATTTGTCCAATCGACTCGTAAAAGCAGTAGTGACGACAAGCACATTGTGGATCAGATTTCTTGAAAAAAGTTCGTATAGGTTCTAAGGTTTCGTTTCTATCGTTACAACGAGTCTGCATACATAATGCTGCTATTTGATATTTCGCCTTTCAAATTACTTGAAAACACGGACCGAACTCACTGATTTAGATCTAAATGATGGACGTTTGTTTAAATCAACAGACTGCTATAATTCTTATGCATAATGCATCCCTTGGTAAAGGTTGTTGATAACCGCATCTATTATAGTAATAATTATGTCATAACTTTCTTTCTTTATTTATTTTTTTTACTTTTTTATTCTCCCGGGCATTAATCTCAACCTTTGTATGCTTTCTCTATGAGTTTTCTCTCACGAATAAGGACAGTCTGTGGGCCGAACCGACATGCGGTTCAATGTATAGTTGTTCTTGCGCATGCGTATGTGCCGGATACAGTACGTAAACGCAAACGCAAACGCAAACAGAGGCACACGCAAACGTATACATTATCTTAAACATAAGATAATGACCACAACGTGATCAAACTTTACAAACTATTTAAATGAATAAAACATAGCATACAGGTCGCAGCAAACCTCTACCAGCATTGTCTATCATCTGCAGTCCCGAAGATTGTACAAACGACACGGGATGGAAGTAAAAATTTCCAATATTCCTACCAAATTACACGATTCGTGCAAGGACTTTACAAGGCATTTCCGGGTGAGAACAATGAAGGATATAAAACATTAATTTCGATGATCCGGAGAAGGCGGTTGGTGTGCTAGTGGGTAGTGAAAATATAGTGAAAATGCCAGAATCTACAATCAACATAACGACTACTAGTATTATGATTGTCTAACATTCTGTGAGCATTTTCCCGTTAAAATATACATGGCTGATCTCAATAGAGCCTTATTTGTGATTAATTGACATTCTCTAATAGTTATATCTCACTTTGAATGATGATGAATTCCTAAGACGTAAAGACAAGTCGAATTAACGACATTGTTCATAAACACAGTGTTCATGATTAAGAAATATGAATAATGTTATTATCACTGTATACAGTATCTTAATTGGATGGATAACCGAGTTTTGTTATGTGTTGACAAGTTCCATCAGTGAGTGTGGTTATGTGTTGTCAAGTTCCATTAGTGAGTGTGGTTATGTGTTGACATTACATCAGTGAGTGTGTTTATGTGTTGACAATTTCCATTAGTGAGTGTGGTTATGTGTTGACAAGTTCCATTAGTGAGTGTGGTTATGTGTTGACATTACATCAGTGAGTGTGGTTATGTGTTGACAAGTTTCATCAGTGAATGTGGTTATGTGTTGACAATTTCCATTAGTGAGTGTGGTTATGTGTTGACATTACATCAGTGAGTGTGGTTATGTGTTGACAAGTTTCATCAGTGAATGTGGTTTTGTGTCGACAATTTCCATTAGTGAGTGTTGTTATGTGTTGTCAAGTTTCATCAGTGAGTGTGTTTATGTGTTGACAATTTCCATTAGTGAGTGTTGTTATGTGTTGTCAAGTTTCATCAGTGAGTGTGGTTATGTGTTGACATTACATCAGTGAGTGTGGTTATGTGTTGTCAAGTTCCATCAGTGAGTGTGGTTATGTGTTGACAAGTTCCATCAGTGAGTGTGGTTATGTGTTGACAAGTTCCATTAGTGAGTGTGGTTATGTGTTGTCAAGTTGCATTAGTGAGTGTGGTTATGTATTGACATTACATCAGTGAGTGTGGTTATGTGTTGACAAGTTACATCAGTGAGTGTGGTTATGTGTTGTCAAGTTTCATCAGTGAGTGTGGTTATGTGTTGATATTACATCAGTGAGTGTGTTTATGTGTTGACAAGTTTCATCAGTGCGTGTGGTTATGTATTGACATTACATCAGTGAGTGTGGTTATGTGTTGACAAGTTACATCAGTGAGTGTGGTTATGTGTTGTCAAGTTCCATCAGTGAGTGTGGTTATGTGTTGACATTACATCAGTGAGTGTGGTTATGTGTTGACAAGTTCCATCAGTGAGTGTGGTTATGTGTTGAAAAGTTACATCAGTGAGTGTAATTATGTATTGACAAGTTCCATGAATCCGTGTGGAGGAATGCAATAAATGTTAACGTAACTAACAATATTGATTTCACCTTCATCTCAGTTTTACTTACTTACCAATACCTGAATTTAGAATTTAAGAGAATACGGAATTACCCCCGCAGAAGATCTTTGATGTTTTCCGTGATAAGTGAGAAAAGCCTTTCTTGATAAGCTTTTCCAAACGTTCATGAATAAAGTGTCAGCCGATAGGGGGTCATATGGTCTACATTAGTAATACTTAACAGGTGTTCGGAGACAAAATTAATAAAATGCACTAAGATGATAAGATGTCGGTCCTCGAAATAATGAAAAAATGTTAAATTGGCATTTTTTGTGTAACCAATGAAGTCTTTTCTGTAAAAAATATAAATAAGTAAATTGTCGAAAATAACAATCCAGAAAAATAATGATCAAGATCTGGGTGATATTCATGTATGTTTTATCGTGATTTGAAACGGAAAACAAATAGTGCCTTAAGTGCAAGATGTACATAATGCTCTGACAACGTACACAACAGTTGGCATAATGAAACTCCTGTAGTTCAATTGGTATATTTTATTTAGTATCGGCCATAGGTATATGTTCCTTGAACTAATTGGAAGATATATTGATTTTATTACAAAAGATATAGGATGCCTGTAGACTGTCTCATGCCATTACCATAAATTCGGAATACCTAATAATGTTGTCGCCACATCATTTGAGTCAGTGTCAGTTGCTGACCACGTAAAATTGGTAGACCTTTATACGGGTAATCAATAACGTTTCGGTAGATTTAGCAGAAGAAAAATAGTGAATTAAGCGAAAAAGACCTGACTGATTAAAGGGAAAAAAGCTGTTGTATGCAGATAATAAATACAACCATAGGACTTGTACGAAGAAAAATGTTAAAGATGGTCAAATTAGGTCGCGAACTACCTAAAAAGAAAACGAAACAACAAATATTTCCTTGGGTTGAAAAAAACAATGAATGAAAAAAGGCAAAATTGCTAGATAAAAATTTTATTTTAAAAAGAAACTGATATAGATCCACTTATTTTTAGATTCCAAAAGGCTTTCCAGTCAATTGAATTGGATTTTAAGTAGGTTTGTTGGATTTTTAAAATTCTGATTAATTTATTCACTGGATTAAAATGCTTTCTAAAAATGTTAGAGGTCTAGTTCAAACAACAACTGGTTAAAACAGCAGAATATAGAAGTTGAGGGAAATAAGACACAGGATGTCCTCATTCTTTTTACATTGTTGTAATAACAAAGGAGGTGTTCAGGTAGGAGGCAAATATTACAAGATTCAAAGTCAAAAGAGGTCACATTAAGATATCAAAGATAGTGGAGGATGCCAAATTATCTCTGATAACTGTGATATTTAAAATGTATTACACATGGTACAAGAGTTTACGAAGGTTAACTGGGTTGACATTAATGAGTGTAAAGCAGAGGGCTTATTATTAGGACCAAAAGGGGGAAATAATTTCCATAGTGGTATTTCAAAAATGGAAAACAAGTGAAATCGCTTGGAATATTTTATGGAACTGAAAAGAAAGTGCGCGGCAACTTAAACTTGCAAAAACTAAAACGACTATGATAAAGTGTTAAAAGACTGGAAACAAAAAGAAATTAACCATTAAGGGAATAGCAATGTTGATGAATTCTTTTATAATTCCAAAAGTTAAGTATCTAGGATATGTACAAATGATAGAAAAATCTTTCTAATAGAGCTAGACCATGAATATATTTGAGTTCTTGTGGGACCGTACTCGAGAAATAGTTTCATTTCAACAAAATTTCAATGCAAAAGAGATGCAAAGGTACAGACATCTGGCAAAGCCTACATAAGCCTTCTCCGTATAACTTCAGAATGATAAAGCATTGTAATGATGAAACAAACACATAGATAATACATATTATGTACCTCCATGATCCCACCTAATTTAATTAGTTAAATCAAATGTTGGAGTATTAATAATGTACTTCGATATACAAATGCATTACTTTCTTCATCACATTCATGACATCTATGAAATGGTATATAAATATTGAAGTGAACATGGGTTATATTTTGGGTTATCAGCTGATTTCTAAGCCTCAGTCTTAGTAGTTAATGGTTGAATAACGAACAGATAAAAATACTGTTCTACAACTTTCTTTACTGTAGTTGCAAGCACATGCTGGAGAACCTTTTTAATGGTTAAGAAAAAGGAACACAGGAGAATGGAGGTAATTTAGATTGTTTGATTAATTAGAGACAGAAGAAAAGTAAGAATTAAAACATATAAATCTAGATATAGTTTAGAGGCGGTTGCCGGTTTCCTTATTGTGTTAACAAAGGTTCCGCAATTTTGCACCGCTTATCAAGTGGCAAACTATTGATCTGAGAAATTTCAAGTTTCAGTAAGTATTGTTTTCTTAAACTATACCATTCCCAGTGAGAAGATGAGTTCGAATTTACAGCTTTTTATGGACATAATTTCGTTGTCTTATGTTTAGCCTTTTAGTAAAACCAAGGTTTGACATTTTATAACATATCGATGAGGTATTTCTCAATTTGGTCATTTATGGATTCAACCAAAATATTATTGAAATAATTAACATCATTACAAACAGAGAGCCTGTCAATATACCTTGTATATAATGTATTACTATTAATCCTATCAACATCTGCATTATCATAATTATTTTCTTATATGCAGTCTATTTATATAATGAATATGATAAGTCAAAGTTGATAAGACAATGATCTCTGTTTACAGGATGAACAACGGAAGAACTGTTATTTGTGAGGACAGTCGTACCAGAGTAATTCTTGTAGGTTCATTAAGTAAACTGGTAAGATTATATTTTGTTAGTAACGGACCGAGATGAGAATATAGTTGAAAGGATAACACATCTACATTGATATCAACAGTTAGAACGACAGCACTAACAGTATCATCGATATCGACAGTTAGAACGACAGTACTAACGGTATCATCCAATACTTTATCAAACAACAGAGACATATTATATCTTTTTGTGCGATATGAAAATGGAAGTGTTTGAAGCTCGTCAGTTTGCATATTGATTCTGTGGTTGCATACCATGTTCTCATTTGAGAACTTGACATTGACCAAAATTTACATGGCGGGTGTCGTCGGTGAAGCAGGAGCAGCTTAGTCTTTCTGAACACCTGGTCATATTTTCCTTGGACAATGTCATGTTTCAAGAGTCTCTGTGTCTTTTATCATCAAATTTGAGTTTGGATTATAATTATGTTGACATGATGATTTCCTTGCTGTTGTTGTTTGTCTGTCCAACTGTTTTACCGTCTTATGCATAAATAGTAAGTTTGAACTAGTATTAAGTTATTTTATTCATATGTAACCTAGATAAAAATAAAAAGTGTTTACATTGAATTTAAGTTATTTTGTTCGTGGAATCAGTATTTACATATATTCAATTTATTGTTGCTTCATACGTCGCCTTGAGGTTGAATTAAATTTCTGTTGCGACATCTTACCCGTTCGACACTTCGTAAAAACATTAGTAAAATGAAGAGATAAATTCCAGTCGATAATGACGCTCTTAAAGGAAGAATTTTCTATTTTGTTGAAGTTATCTGGAGAGCAACTACGATTGAAATCGAGTAAATTGAAGACAATTATGTAAAATGTACTTGATTTTAATTTGAGGTATCCTCCGATAACGTAAAATAGAAAGAAAGTCAATTATCATATGTACTGGTTTTCTTTTCATTTAAATACCTTGATGTTTTTATCGATTGAAAAATTAACAGGCGCAAAAACAACAAAAACATTCAGTTTGCTGGCCTAAAAACTACCATCATGAATGGCCTATTGTTTCAGTCTTTCTGATAACATCTTTAAAAAATCAACATACAATTATATTTTACTTGCAAAATACAAAACTCCACTTTTTATTCTATTGAAATTACGTAAGGAAAACTTCAAAAGTTTGTAAAAGATTGATAAAAGGGCCATACTTCAAACGGACTATATTTTGCGGACGTATTTAAAAACACCGGTAATTCAAGTCCAGTATGATACGATGTCATTTAGCGCGAGTCATGTCAATAGGCACAGTGTATCAAGAGTCAACAGTCAATTGCAACGGTAACTATGAATATATGGTATTATCTGATACTAAATACCCGATACATATGTTGATTCGTTTCAGAAATGTAGTAAATATAATTTCTGGAATATCCGAGTCTTGGATTGTACAAGAATGAATAGCACCTCTTCAGAATTATAGTGAGATACAGTAGAGCCAAACAATGTATTAAAACTGTATCATACAGCTGTTTCGTCCTTCTAGGATTCGTCAGTGATGCCAAGGGCCTAAAAATCGAATCCTAGGAGGCTACTAAGTAAAATCAAAAGTGATCAAAAGAAAAGAAAAAAATCTTGACGGAGAGGTGCAGTAGTCTCATAATAAGTTAAATTTCATAATTTTCATACACCAGATAAATTTAAAACAGTGTCCAGTGTATGTCTATTTTCTGTGACCTGTCACTATTCGAATGAGTTTCAACGTGGCAAGTAGGTTTATGATAACATATTGGCTACAATACTTTTTTTATTTTGCTTTTTTGTTTTTGTTTTGCTTATTTTCATTCAATCAAAACGGTTTGCGAGATTATTCCTGTGTAAGAGTGATACGTAGTTACAATCATTCCTGAATCCTACATATCAATTAAAACAATCAAGTCACTATCACCTGCAACATAAGAGCAACTGACGAAATCAATAATTGTTTAATTGAAAATCATTAAAATTTAGTTTTTGTTTCGTTTATTTTCTTTTTATTTTGTTCCTGAAAGTTGTTTACGACACATTATTCTTTATCTGTAAAAGTCATAATATTATTTAAAATAAAATAAAAAAAATCATACCAACGTTATTGCAGTGAATCCAGATAACTACACAAGTGGATACTGACCTGCTGCTCCTGTTTTCTCCATTCCAAATGGGTAGTAAAAGGTACCTTTCCGTTCCGGTAACAGCAGTAGAAGTTTTAGGGTTGTTGTGTTTGGTCGTGTACTAACGACTAGACTCGTAAAGACGAGTAAATGTAAAACACTATACATATCTATAGGTCCACTTCCTACTCTAACTGCACATGTCTATTTTTAGTTGATATTATCAATAAATATTTTAAAGTATTTCACACTTTCCTAGAACACTAAAAATTATCCTTCACAACTGTAATGGACGTCTATTTTTTAACGATGATAACTAATAAATGTATGATTTCTATAAGCCTGACTACAATTATATGCCCTCTGGTGGTGTGTCCGCACGTGCTCAACAATCAATGGCAAGAACTGAATACAAATCTTCCGCCATAGGTGAGTAGGTCCTGGCCCATGAATACAAGGAAATACCTTAGAGTACTCGTTATAATTAATATAGTTACCAGTCAATGGACGAACGCTAATATATTACATACGCATAGAATAATCACATGACATCTATTGTCAGCTATCAACGTGATTTCTGATGTTTATTATCCTATGGAGAAGGGATACGGATACTAACGAGCTATCGACTTCGTTAATAAATACGTGAAAAGCGAACATGCGCTGTTTTATACGATCGTTACTTACGTTGCTTATTTTGTTTTTCCACTGTGCATACCACTCACTCTTGCTCAATCCTGGTGTCCAAAATACATTCTTCCCTTTTCAAGAAATGCTCCTTTACTTTGCCGGCTAATAAAAAGTATTTAAAACCTTTTAACGCAGAGAAAATGTGCAGGACCATGGCAATTGAAAATTCCAGAACTACTACTATCTGACAAAACTTATCTCTCAATACAAAAATAACCTGGATATCTAAATAATGATGAAACATGTTGGTTAGCGATATATAGTCCTCGTGCTTTTATATAACATTCGGAGCGTAAAGATACCAACAAAAAGTAGATAAATGTGGGATAATGCAATAGATTTCTTCAAATTCCGTTACTGCGGTACTAACATAAATAATACTTTGAATTATTGCCCTTGAAAAGTTAATTTAAAAGATGCAAAATGAGGATAAACTATGAGATTACATTAATATTTACATCTCTTATCTATACTCTAACTCTAAATTAATTTGTTTTTCGCTTTGGCGTGTTTTTAGTCATTGAGATAACCTTGCTAAGCTGACTGTTTAGTCCCCAAGGTTTGTCGTAAACTGTATGACACGTTTTAATATACTAAGTATACATACACGTACTTCATGTTCTGCTGAAAACATCAGATACATTAAATTAACGAAATTATAACGAGTTATAGTACTAGTGCAATTCTCGATATGTATTTCATTACTTACGTATCTTCCAGTGAATTCTTCAGTCGCATCATGGGTTTTTAAAATTAGGTCCTTCACATTACTAACGAGTTTAACCTGCTGTATAAAGCAATTTCATTCATCATTTGGTACAAAATACTATACACTTGGTAATGAGCTCTTGAATGTATCTGTGATTTAAGATTTCAATTTGAAAATCGTCGTTAAACCTAAAGAACATAAAAATATATGATGTATACAAAATTCTGCAGTGGCTTTATTCGCGTGTTCAGTGGACGCATACGATAAACTAATACATTGTGTGTTTTTTTTTTAAATAGTTTAGACCATAACATAGGATAACAACTTAAGTCATATACAGCCCATATTACTATAATATCAGTAGTGGTTACATTTATGAAATAAAATGAAATTCTTTTATTAAAGTTCTACTGGTTGATTAACGTCTTTGTCATCTATTTAAAAATTCAGCCTTGTACAAAAATCAAATTGGCGAAAGTATAGTATACAAACGTCATCGAGATTTCAAAGGTCGATATGTTCCTGTAATATGTTTTAAACCGCAATATATCTCACAGTTATCCACATGGCTAGTTGATGATATGTATTTTAAAAAGGCCGTAGTAATAAAAGAATTATGGTTATGTTGATGTGAGAAGATCAAAGATATCCATATATCTTTTTAATTTATCAATTTGGAAAAGTATGCTAACACGGAAGGATCATAACAGAGAGGTGTGACGTAAATAACATGTCGCGGTTTAATTAATTAAATAGTGGCATTGTACAGAATATACACCTATACTTGACACTCTTAAAAAAGTTGAGATATAGGAAAATTAAGTGAATTATTGGGCTACTATACCTCTCGGTCTACATCACTCTGAATTTTCCTCAGTTGCAACTCATGTTTAAAACCTAGCGTCAGGAGTAATAGAAGGACGAAGCAGCTGTATAATACAGTTTAATTCACGCTGACTCGATGATAATAATTACCTGTCTGTAATCCCTATTTATATACGTGCTTGTATCAGAACATTACGTTGATTTTAAATCAGTATTAATTGACTATTTTTACTGGATAAGATTAATTAGTTAGGTATAATCATATCTTGAGAATTTGTTCATCTAAAACGAAATCAGCGATTGAAAACAGATTTGTGTGTTTTTGTAAACGTCTGCTTTATCTTCATCAAGAAAATGTTAATGACTGTTCCTTGGTTTCACCATTTTGTGATTGGACGAGAGTGTAAAAGCAACTGTCGAGTGGTCACATTCTAATATCAATGATATTGAAGTCAATCTATCGAAAACTGTTCACAACAATTATACAAACATTTCTTAACAAGTCAATGTTTGAAAACTCAAAATCACATCTCTCATTACCGCTTTCGTATCATACCTTAGGAACACCAAACGATTGTTTAAACACTTCAACTCTTCATCAAGATTTTGACCTTTATTTCGACATTCGCTTCCTAGGCTTTAAAATTAAGACCTTTCTTGTCACTGACGATTCCACAAAGGACGGAAAGGCTTATGATGCAGTTTCCTTTATTGTTTGTCTCTACTTTATCTAAATATATTGTATCTAAATGTACTATTCGGTTGTGTGTCTTTGGTACAATATCCAGTGACAAGTGTGCTACGACGACACATATATACACGCCGACTCGCTGACTTCAAATGATTTGTTGTCTAGCGTTGTAATCACTTGAGTGCCCAGGGCCCAAAAATAAAATATTCATGATAAAGTCATGCTTATTGGAAGATGATATTCTGCGTCAAATGGAATACATTCGAATTCGAACAAAAGTAGTCCACACTCCAAACTCGAGCACATGAATGACTTGATATATATACAATTTATGTTCTTACACTCCTTACATTAAATTTCTTTGACCCCCTCCCTCTCCCCCTCTCTCTCTTTAGTAAATAAGTAAATTAAGACAGACTTCTTTTATTCCATAATGCCCTAGCTTCGGTGTTTACTATTACTCGCCCACCTCGTAGGCACGTCATAATCAAAGATTTGTGATATTGTTGTTACCGACATTTCCCACGGGGATAAGTCACACGCAGGTGCAAGCCTGTACTAATTGATATCAATATCGCTCTGTACTTGAATAAACTACAAAGGAAGTGATAATAATTCTAATGGCATAATACTGTATGTGTTATAAACTTAACGGATTTTTCAGATGTCATTGCTTCGATATTCAATAGCATGCAGGATGTCGGCAACTGACAAACTCACAACACATCGTTTCTAGAGATGCAAGGTTGATGAAGATTTGTGATTCACAAACTGATTGGGGAATTACTAAATAAATACATCAGAAGGAAGTCACGATAAGCGAAATAAATACCTAGCAAAACAACAAATAACATACCGACATGTAAACATCTTAATTCAAACTCAAATTCAGTGTCAGAAAAAAAAGAAGGGTAGAGAAAATTTACAATGTATAATTTTCCGGACGAGTAAGCGTGTTCTGCTTCATCCACGACATGGCGGGTGTCCTTCTGATGTATTTATTTAGTAATTCCCCAATCAGTTTGTAATATTTAATTCATGTCGGCAATCGATATTACTTAAACATTAAGAAAAACCGCAATGATAAAAGCATCTTAATCACACCCATAGTCGATGAAACGATGGAAAAGTAAATATTTACATGGATACACATGAAAAAGTACGGGGTGAATAAGATCATGAGTTCCAGAAGAGTCAGCGTCTCTTGCATCATCGACGACACCCTTATGTAGACATTGATTGATCCAATTTAATAATATCACGTTCCCAAATAAGATCAAAGTAAACAGCAACGAAACCATTATAACATTACAGATCAAGCATTCAGATCCCAAACTGAAAATACACAGAGGTAAAGTATTTTCAGTTACAATCATCACCATGTCCTCCATCCTATTTTTTGAAGATTGATGTTGACCTCTCCTTTGAACAGTGTTTCTCTCTCTCTCTCTCTCTCTCTCTCTCTTTACGATCATGGCTACGCCACATTAGGGGAAACACTTGCAGTGACCCAAAATCGAAGGTAATGGAACAGTGACGTGGTGTTGGCTACCTATTGTTTATACTGTTTAGTAGCCTGTCGCTGGACGTTGGTGACGTGACGTTGGCTGCCTTTGTTTATACTGTTTAGCAGCCTGTCACTGGACGTTGGTGACGTGACGTTAGCTGCCTTTGTGTATACTGTTTAGCAGCCTGTCAATCGACGTTGGTGACGTGCCGCTGGCTGCCTTTTGTTTATACTGTTTAGCAGCCTGTCAATGGACGTTGGTGACGTGGTGTTGACTACCTTTTGTTTATACTGTTTAGCAGCCTGTCACTGGACGTTGGTGACGTGGTGTTGGCTGCCTTTGTTTATGCTGTTTAGCAGCCTGTCGCTGGACGTTTGTGACGTGGCGTTGGCTGCCTTTGTGTATACTGTTTAGCAGTCTGTCACTGGACGTTGGTGACGTGGCGTTGGCTGCCTTTTGTTTAAACTGTTTAGCAGCCTGTCACTGGACGTTGGTGACGTGGCGTTGGCTGCCTTTGTTTATACTGTTTAGCAGCCTGTCACTGGACGTTGGTGACGTTGGCTACCTTTTATTTATACTGTTTAGCAGTCCGTCGCTGGACGTTGGTGACGTTGGCTACCTTTTGTTTATACTATTTAGCAGCCTATCGCTGGACGTTGGTGACGTGACGTTGGCTACCTTTGTTTATACTGTTTAGCAGTCTGTCGCTGGACGTTGGTGACGTTGGCTACCTTTTGTTTATACT